GGGGGAACTCAAAATTTGGAAAGGCATACTGATGTTGGGCTAGCTCAACAAACTTAGGATAATCAGGAGATATATGATCATGAGAGTTTGATGGAGTTTGCACCGGTTTTGGAGGGTATTGCACTGGAATTGGAGGAAATAATGCATTCAATAATGAGACCTATTGATGAGAGAAACAATGAAAATTATGAGGTTTCTATATCTCACATGATCTCTCAACATCACACTCAACCTGAATTAGTTGCTCAGACATAAAACTTTGAACTTCCATTTGATGAGGAGAAGTTGGAGCTGGCTAGGTAAGCTTTAGAAGAGGAATGACGTATCCAAAAATCTAAGAAGCATAAAGGAAGTCCACACGGAGCTCTAAGTTATATAAACTCAAATGTTGTGTTAAACTGTGAAGGTAAGCCTCCAGTTGGTATACTTGCAAATGTTAGTGATGGAGCTCCCCATAGGGTGACTAGGGGAAGCAAATCCATTAGCCATGTTTGATTTTTTTAATATGGAATATCAGAGGTGTTGTTGGGTTTGATGCCTCTAATAGATTATTGAATATGTGTTGGATTCACAAGCTTAGATGTTTTGCTATTATGGATCACATGATTGCTGAAGTTAATATCCCCAGAGCAATCATAAAGCTAGGAAACTTTCAATATATTTATAACTGTATTTTAAAATTTGTGGTCTTTTTGGGACAACATCCTGTCTGTTTTGCATTTCAGATCACCATCGCAGTTCTATTTTGGGAATTACTATCTTGATGTATTTATATATATAACTACCTAAATTTCAATTTTTGCATATATGTCACATTATCTATACTTGAAAATTGATATTCACAACTTAAAAATTAACACAGTGATATTTTTTAATATGATATGAAAGATTTGGATGATATAAATGTAGAAAAATACACTTAGATCCTAGATATGAAGATAAATAGAAATTAAATGATATGTATGTAAATGCCCTTTTTTGTATGCATCTTAAGAAGTCGTCTATTTATAATATTCAAACCCCACTTTTCCACCAAGAATATCTAACTATTTTCTTCTAAAAAAACCTCAAAATGTTGTGTTATTGTACTCTAATTATTTAAAATATCTAAAAATTCAACTATTTTGTATCTTTTATCACACACACACACACACACACACACACACACACACACACACACACACACACACACACACACACACACACACACACACACACACACACACACATTTCAAAATAACTTGGTTTAAGTCATCATTTTCAAATTTTAAAAATATAACATATTTGCACACCATTTCTCTATTCTCAATATACAAATCTTCATATATTTTTACAAAAAAATATAAAACAAATAACAAAATAATTAAAAAAAAGTCAATAAAAATCAACAACCACATCTTTTCATCATTTCACAAAACAAAACAACCATCCCATATTTCTCATATTCCCCCCATAACATATCTTCATTTACTCATTTATCCAACACTATTAACCCAAAAAAATTCATCTAAAAGTAAATTCTTCCTTCCATATATTACAATGAATAAAAAATATTAAAACCCAAAACAAAAATAAATCAAGTAAATATAAAAAAAATGAAAATTTACATACATTCCACACCATTCTTATACATCTACATATCCAACCTCTAGAATCTCATATTTACATCAATAACCCTTCAATGTTATAAACATATAGATGAAGATGTATGTCCCACTTTTTAAAGTCAGAGAAAGTGATATTTATTGTATCATCTTAAATGATTAACATCTTATACATTGAGTAAAGTGTCAAAATCGTTCCTGACCAGTAACATGCAGTGCTAAAATATTCGAGCTATTTTAAAATTGAGCTCTAATAGACATTCATGAAGACTGTTTTAGCCCAAACTTAAATAGTTTGCTAACTATTCTGATAGTTTTATAAACTCTGACACGAAAAGATCTCATGCAAACAGTCTGGGTCTTTTTTGGCGCTTTACTCCGTATATATTTATGTAAATATAGAAATTTAAATGTAAGATATGTAAATATATATGAATTGTGTGGTATATATGTAAATGCCTCAAAATCTCTCTCTTCTTTCTCTCTCTATCTCTATAACTGGACTAACTTTTCAAGGGCAACGCAAATTTCTTCCAGGCCCTCCATAATAAAAATAATTACCCCATGCACGATTAACTCCAGCACGAATATCGTAACAGGTCTGATGATCTGCTAAGACACGAAGATTGTACAGAGGAATCAAACTGTTACCCGAATCAACGACCTGTAAATTACGGAAATAAGCCGATCGCCGGAAACCTTCGCCGGCGAAGTGGCCGCTGCCCATTTGGGTGGCGGTGTGGAACGGCGAGCTGCGGCTGTTGAATATCTCTCCCCCGAATTGGACCATATTTGCGCTTTGGGCCAAGTGGCTGAACAGGCTTGAAGGCCAGTAGCCCACCAGAAGCCCAGATCCGAATTGCAGCCACCAATGTCCATGTTTTGGGTCCTGGTCAGTTTTATTAAATAATAATAATAATTTAGTTTACATAAATGAATTATGTGGTGTTTTGTATGAGAGAATGCATAAGTTTTTATTCATATTATTTTTATGAGTAAAATGTCAAAATAGTCCTCTACTATTTTAAAATTTAGCTTTAGCAGTTCTTCGTGGGAACTACTTCAGCTCTTATCTATAGAGTGGGGGCTATTTTGACACTTCAATACTCCGAGATTAAAAACGCCAACATTTGACACTTTATCTTTTTTTTATCCTACTTATTTTATAATGCGCAAAATCATTAAACATTTAATTATTTTTGACATTATTAGGTAAATAAATATATTGTGGGGGATAAAATTATTAGATCGCAAAAACTATATAAGAAAAAAATTATTAAATTTCACTATTTATATAGAGAAATATCAAATTTTAGGATGGACAACTGTTTTAAAACATTTACACTTGTTTTAAAATATGAAAGATTGACGTACATACCACTCAATTGCTATGTGTGTGCGTGTGCGTGTGCGTGTTGTCACCTCCCGAAAGAGCCCTTAAGAGATGCGAGCAGCCCAAGACTTAAATAATGTTTTTCAGCCCTACACCTAGCCAATGTGGGACTATTTGTCCGTGACATTCTCCTCCACCCAATCACGTGACACCCTCATCACGGATCGACGACACCGAGGGTCCCGCTGGACCATGGAGAGTCCACACATTTGACATGCAGTAATCTGCTCTGATACCACTTGTCACCTCCCAAAAGAGCCCTTAAGAGAGGTAGACAACCCAAGACTTAAATACTGTTTTTTTGGCACTACACCTAACCGATGTGAGACTATTTGTCCGTGGCAGTGTGCCTGTAAATGTTATCTGGAAATACTGTCATATGTGTTAGACATCGCCATAGGATTGAACTCGGGTCAGAATGGACTTATGACTGACAATACAGTTGTCTATTTACTTATAACCCTAAGTGGGCAATATATATATATTATTTTCTTAGAAAAAATTACCTTCCACACTAATAGAGTGATGTCGAATTGCTCCCTTCCATAAATAGAGGTAGGAGATATTGCAGCACCAATTGCAATTTTATTTGTTGTCTGAACAAACCCCGAACAAAGCAGGTTGTAGCATCCAGTCTCTTGATACGAATCAGTCTGCATTTTTCATTTTCATTATTAAAAATACAAAAATTACACATTTACCATCATCAAAATACTTCTGATAATACATGTTTAAGAAATATAGCTACATTGTTGTATTTACACTCACAACATTTACACCTATTCTCAAAATTGTTCGCTTTAAAAAGATAATAATGATGGTGTTTTTTTCTCTATGACGTAAAAAATTTGAGCGGTATGCATGCAAATATGAATGTTTATGGGTTAGATACGTAAATACATAAGAGTTGTGGTATGTAGTGTTGGACATGATCGTTAGAAGATTGATAAAAATAGAAGAGTCGCAAAAATATCATTACTCGCTACCACATTCTATGTACATATTAAGGAGCCGTTTGGGGCAGCTTATTTGGATCTCACGTTTTGTTCTCTTATCCGAAAACACGGTTTCATTTTTACACTAAATGTAGGTCGCAGGTCTAACCCTGCGGTCGACCCGAGGGCCGCGCTTCAGGATAAGCTGCTTATCCTGAAAAACACAAGCTGCCCCAAACGTACCATAATTCCTCATTATAGTTACAATAATATTTAAAAAATATATAGCATCCAATTATTTTAATAAATAAATTTTATTTTATTATACTTATTTAAAAATTGGAAAGGATATTAATCATACTTATTCAAAATAAATTCAATAAATTTGAAATCTATCACATTAAGGGTCTGTTTGGGGCAACTGATTTAGTGCGAAGACGTTTTGAAAATGTGTCTGGTCTGTTTGGTTAAAATGTGTTTTGGCAGCTTATGAGTTTTCAGCATTTTCACACCGAACGTGTCTAGGTGCGGTGATAGTTTTCTGGCAGCAGTCCGGCTTTTCCAAAAAAAATAAAAAATTATAATAGTCACCGCACCTAGCTTATCAGCAGATTATTTTTAATCAGCTTATCAGCAGGCCCAAACAAACCCTAAGAAAAAATTGCAAAAACATCCTCATTTTTTAATAATATTTCTTTAATTAACAAAAACTAAAAAAATATTTAAGAAAATGAAATGGATTGGAAGAGATTTCAGAGTTCCAAGCTGCACTGACCGTCCAATAGGTGAAGAATCTTGGAGAGCTGTCGCCATATAGCTGAGGGTTAACCTGCCAAATAATTTGCACCAATTTATTGTCATGATAAATTTGTAATTATTAAAATTATGGGCTTTAAAATACATATATACCACACCATTTTTAACTATTTATGTATCATATATTTTAATTTTTATATTTATATGCATAATAAATCATTCTTCATATTATGTGGTATGTAGTACCACTTTGTCATGTATAAATTTATGATGCCAAAATGTCCTAAATGCAAATATTGAAAGATGGGTGTTAGATATGTAAAAATATAGGATTTTTGTGGTATTTAAGTAAATTACTTTTTTTAAATACACCAAATATCACTATTCCATTAATATAAATAAATATATATATATATATAATGTGGTATTTATGTAAAATTTATAATTAATTGTGTAAAAAGTGCACTTAGAAGAAAATAAGAAGTGAAATTTTGACCTGCCATCCGGCTTCTATGGTATTTAAATCGCCATTGAAGGAGCCAGAGATGACCCAAATCTGTGACAGGCTAAACTCTGTAGCCGTAGAAACTGCAGGAGTCCACACCCCTAAGCTTGCCTTTGCTCCATACCAGTCTCCATTTGCATACCCCACCGCATGCTGCAAATATGAATTTACATTATACCCCCCCCCATTTCCATGTATTTCAATGTCTACAACCTAAATTTTCGTATGATATAAGAAATAGCACTATATTAATTAACTTTAGAAAAGTGAAAAATATGTAAAATTAAAAAGTTTAGGGTCTAAGAGAGGTACATATGTTGGAATGAATGGAGTGATATGTATGAAAGATTATAAAATGTCAAAATTTATCTTTTGTCAAAAAATTATTTTGATGCGGTCATCGTTATAAAAAAAGTGTGGCGTCTCGGACATTTTCTATAGATGTCATATATATTGTATATATAAAAATATGTCAGCACGAATGTCAAAGTAGATGAATGGCTTAGGAAGTAGATGGGGATGATCGAGCATAGTCTTCGATGATTGTCTTAGGATGAATGTTAGCGAGATAAACATATTCTTCAAACGATCGATAGAAGATGTCAGGAGAAGCTCCCGTAGTGTGGTAATCAACACTCCAGGCGAGCGACATTCGGACTAGATATCGATCGAGTTAAGACTTATTAATGATCGACAACTCTCATAGATCGAATCGGCCTCCAGTCTTATTATAAGCAAATAAATCTTTAATTAACAGAAAGTCCCCCGAAAAAGTTAATAATGAGGGGGCTAGTAGGGGTCAATGTCATGAATAAGACACTCTTTTTATCATTCTCTACTGCTCTCTCTCTCTCTCTAATCACTTCATACACTTTTGGATTCAACATCCTTTAAAGAATGGTGAGCATAGAAACGTGGTGTCATCAAGAAGAGGAACCCAACAACAATAGCAAGGAGAGCCCATTCAGAGAAATATAGGAGAAGCGGCATTCACTCAAGAGTTTATGGAAGAATTCTTTCAATAAAGCCTGCAAGACTTGATAACTCAAAATACTAACCAAATGTCAGGACAATTCAAAGAAGTACTAGGGCGGTTGCCACCATAGCAATGACCCTAATTCCAGAAGAAGAGCCAACCTGACAAGAAACATTCAACCCCCTCCATCTGCAAGAAAATCCTAAGAATGGTTTGTACCAAGACAACGACGGATCAGCCCTCGTGGAGGAGAGGAACCCACCAGTGCAGATCGAGGTACAAAGATAGCTAAAAAACGCCTTCTCTCCATAGGAATCTGGAGTTGAACCTTCAGAGAGTTCAAGATGTCGGAATTATACGTGTATAAAGGATGGTCAAATTCTAATGATCATCTTGCGTCGTTTGAATTGCCATACGCCTGTCGAAAATTTTTTATTCCCTCAAGTGTAAGCTCTTCTTCACAACGTTGAGATCAACTTCATTAAAGTGATTTGACGGATTGCCCGAGAGGGGAATCACCTTTTTTGTGGAGTTTAGGAGAAACACTATTCCTAGTCAATCAAAGCTATGTCTCTACCTCAACCACTGCCTCCTAAAGACCTCTATGGGGAACCGCGCCCCCTCCGACAGCCACCTACATGGACAATCTCTCTCACAGCATGAATGCCATGTAAGATGATCGTCAGGATGGCCTTGAGCCCGCAAGGAAACAAGAACCAGGTTAGCTCTCACAATCACCAACTTCTGTCTTAGGCACACTCTCTTCCTACTCACCTCTTCCAGGGATACCTCACCCGCTGGCTTATGCTTCATGTTCAATTCTCCTTCACCAGACATCACCAAAACACGAAAGGAGAAGAACACAAGACAAAAGAAGGTATAAGAAACGAAGACGATGCAATCCTCCCTTGCCCCAAAGCCTATCTATAATGGCCTGGGCAAGGCAATCTAAAGAAGTCTAATTTCGCGCAGTAATATTGTTTATTTATTTCATGTTAAAAAATTCTTTTATCCTCGTGTAGTGCACAACTTTTGAGGATCAAGAGAATAAAAAAACTAAATATGCACATATATAATAATATGTCTGTACAAATCTCAAAGCAGATGAACTGCTTATGAAGTAGATGCGGACAATCGAACATAGCCTTCGACAATTATTTTAAGATGAATTTTGGTGAAAGAGCACCTTGTTTGAACGATCGACGGAAGTCACCAAAAGAAGCTTCCGCAAGGTGTCAATCAGCCTTCGGAACAATCAACGAGAGCACTCTTTTGGACTAGATATTGATTGAGTCAATGCTTATCGAACGATCAACAACCCTCATCGATAAAATAAGTCTTTGGTCTTACTCTATACAAATAACACTGTAATTATAAAAAATCCCCCTAAAAAGTTAATGATGAGGGGGGACTAATATGTTTTTCTGTAATATTGGGTCTCAGTCCTATAAACATGAGTACATGTCATGAATAAGACACTGCGTAATTACAATTTGTTGTTATGTATTTGCAATTTTGCATATCTAAAACCTAAACTTCAAATTAGTGGTTATATGTGTAAATACCTGGGAATGAGTGTCATATATATGTAAATGTCCTTCAAAAGGTTAAATATGCAAATATACACAATGACCATAACAAATATATAATTCTTCCTTTAACCCAATTTCATGCATAACAAGGTTATAATGCAAAAAGAAAAATTAGCTCAACAACTTTGTCATACTCAATAGACATCATTTAATGCTCTCCAGTCTATTGAATGATTTTGCAAATTTATTCACAGGAATACTTATATTAATAAATAATATGTTTGCATTCCATGATTCTGTTCCTGTCGACCACTACATCAGCACCATATATGAAATAATTACTTTTGGTGCATTTACATACTTACCACCCTATTCTTATGTATTTACATATCTAACACTTACATTTAATTTCCTTACATTTATACCACTCAGCATAGTTTCATCACTACATAGGTGAATACAATGGAATTGAGTGGTAATGATAAATATTCGTTATTCTTTCTTAATTATGTATTTGCTTAAAGAAAGAGATATATATATATATATATTAAAGAATGGTCAGAATCTATTATACGAGTCTTCAATCACCTTCACATGCTTAACTATTCGAGGAACACAATCACTACCGACAAACTAGCTAGAGAGGGATTCCGACTCATGACCTTAAGAGACTTATAACCTTCAAAGAGGCTGCACTAATATATATATGTTTGTATGTATGCATGTATACATATGCGCGCGCGCACACACACATATATATATATATATATATAAATCTAAATCATCACTTTATAAAAAAAAAAGGAAAAAGCAGCTCTTTAAATCAACATCAAAATTTAAATCTACAAAAATTACATACATGACATTCAAAATATTGTTATTTACAAATTAAACACGCTCATTCATATATTTTTAAAATTTTTTATTATGAAATAATTCCAATCATATTTTTTATTTTTATCAAATTCACAACAAATAAATCGGTTTGATCGTTCAGAAAATAAAGATGAGTGTTTGAGTTGTAAATAGCAATATTTTTTTTTTTTGCTTTGGATGTAATTATCCCAAAATTAAACTTTTTTTTCCAAATTTATTTATAAATTATACTGACCTCATGGCCGCCGCCGGTGGAGTCTCGCCGGATCACAGCCGCCGGCTTCCTCCCAAAGCTCCGAATCGAACTCGCCCTCAAAACATCACTCTCCGTAGCTCTCCTCACAGCAATCGTTCCCTCCGGGCACACCTCGCCGGAAATCCTCCACCTCTGCACTTCATCTCCCACCTCCACTTCGCCGGAAAACACATCCCCTCCCGGCATCTCCGGCGAATCCTGCAAATAAAAACACAATCTTTCTTCAAACCAACTCCTCAAATCCCATAAAAATCAAATCTTTCTCACCAATAGCTTCGTCCCCTTCAGCTTCGGATGATCAAACGCCGGCTGAAGGTGCGAAGGCACGCAATCAATTACATCGCCGTCAGGACTCTGCAGTAAAGGAAATAAAAATCGAATCTTGAAAATTACAGAAGAAGAAGAAGAAGAAAGAGGTATAAAAAATGTATTTTTTTTTGTTGCAGAGAAAAAATAATGCCTGAATCGTTTTGATGGCAGGTTTAGTGAGCTTCTGAAGATGAGTGAAGAGTTCTTCGTTTTCCGGCGGAGATTTGGTCTCCGGCGAAGTGGCGGCGGAGGGGGGAACGGGGAGGAGGAAGAGAACAAAGAAGGTGATGATTGGTAGGGAGAAGAAGTAGCTAGAAGCCATTTGAGAAGAATTTTGAGGAGGGATTTGTTCTACAAAGGAGCTGTCTTTATCTGGGGAAGAAGGGTGTGGTTGTCTTGTTGTGTATTTTGCATTGTGGCCCTCTTGCTAAAAAAAACTTGGTTGGGTCTTTGTCATCATGGAATTCAACGACAGCTAAAGAGGAGCCGTGTAATTCGCTAAAGTTTATGACACTCACTCTCTCTCTCTATCTCTTCACTCACACACTCTCTCTCTCTCTCTCTCTCTCTCTATATTTTAGCTCCCAAAGCAAAGAAGAGTAAAGGCTCGTAAGAAAAAAGTGAAATTTACATTCTTTATGTGTTTTTATATCGCACAGCTAAACCTCTGCATTGGGTTTCAAAAATCAACATGATAATGCGTATGGTTCGAACTCCACTCAAAAAAATTCGGGTTCGGGTTGACATAAATAGGTTTGGAGTTGGGTTCGGGCCAAAGAATCGGCTTGTTTACTATTTTGGTCGGTTCTGCTTGATTCGATTCAAGTCGGGTCATTTTAGGGTCGAATCTGACCTACAGACCCAAATTAACATTCTTATGTGTCAAAAATTGACCCTACAGGTCAACACGACTATAACTCAACCAAAAAAATCTGGGTTTAGTTTGACCCAAATATTTTTCGAGTCGGTTTCGGGTCAAAGAATTCTACTGGTTTATTATTTGGGCCCGATTTACGTTGACCTGATTCGAGTCAAACCCGAACCCGACCCGCCGACTCCAATTGACGCCCATATATTTATAGTTATAAAGATATTAGTTTGGTGTTTTAAACTCTTGCATGAAAAATTGAATTTTACTTTTAAAAAATTGATAATAAAGGTACTTTTAATGTGATATTTAAATATTGAGTGTTATCTATGTAATTATAAAAATTTAGGTGTTAAATATGTAAATAAATTATAATTAAGTGCCTGGTATGTATGTAAATGTCTCTTTTTTTTCATGTGAATAAGTTGACATATATGTAATAATTGAAATTTAAATATTAATATATAAATTCCACAGCTGTGAGATTCTTTTGGAGTCTTCCTTTCACTTCTCCCCAGGAATTCTCTAATGTCAGCCTTGATACTTGAAGTGCTATAAGAAATTGCTGAGATTCTGATGGACATATTAATGCTATTTTAATGTTTTGATATATCTATTTTATGCTATATTATTAAAAAAATAATTAACTAATTTATAAATTAATATTAAAATTATTTTTAAAAGTATTACAAGTTTATGGCATTGATAAGAGTTGATTGAATAGTAGAAATATGGATGAGATGGTGATTAGATAGTTGGGCATTTTCTTTCATATTTGATTTTTTTAGGTTAGATGTGTAAAAAACTCAAAAAGTTTGGGTTTGGGTTGACCTGATTAATTTTTTGGGTCTTGTTTAGGTTAAAAATCCTAACCTGTTTAGTTTTTTAGTTTGGGTTCAGTTGAACAGCCAATAAATTGACTTGAAATCGATCCCCCCAAACTTCAAATTGACTCCATTGATCATCTAGCGGTTATTCCTTGTGTTAAATGTGTTGTATGGTTCAAGTTCGGTCGATGGGGTGGTTCCCGGGCTCATAGATTAATCTTATTCCACAAAATTTAGATGTTATGAGTGGAAGAAAACAAAAGACCGCTTACATGAAAGTGCCCTCATGTTTATACATAATATGAGGGCAAAAAATAAATTATAATATTGCCCTTGAGTACAGGATTTTTTTGATATTATGATCTTCTTATTTAGCCCACTGGATTGTCTTGAGATCCATGAAGACCATTTTTTAGTGTACATATTAAGTTTTCCAATTTTTCATGCTTATTGATATTTACAACTGTGATAATGGCAACAAAACATGAGCACATAATTCACTATTGATACTTCATGTTAAGCGCTCTGTTCTGGCATCCTTAGCGACATCAACTGTTAATCAAACCCTGGATGGTCTACCAATTACCCCTTAAGGAGATTGTCGTTATTGGGTGGCAAATCATCTCTGGGGTTGAAGACCATCGTCGTACACCATTCATGAAGCTTTTCATTTTTAAGTGGCCAATAATCTCAAGGGTTGAAGACAATCACAATACATTCTTCAAAGAGCTTGTTGCTGCTGGGTGGCGAATCAACTTTGGGGCATAGGAGCATGGTTCTAACCTTTCACTTGCCTGGGTCCTCAGTAGCCCAGTCAAACCTCCGTCTTAGGTAGTGTCCCCTCTATGGGAGGAAGCCAAGACTCCTCTCTAGAATGATTGTTGTTGTACCATTCGCGAAACTTGTCGTTACTGTGCAAAGAACCATCTCTAGATGTTCATCCGATCCGAGCTACGGGGCTTGAGCTCGTTGTAAGAAAAGTCTCATGACTAGTCCTTGGAATTGTTTTATCGATTGGACATCTATGACGTCGTTGTCAATTATTTTTTTATGTCATTAACCAATCCGACACTCTTGACATGTTTGTCGGTTTTACTACGCATGTTCGAGTTCCCCAAGTGCTGAGTGACCACCAGCATGCATGAATTTTTTGAGCATGTCAAGTCTTGACTTGTGTGCATTCTCATATAGAAATACAAGATATCATTGTACCCATGTATCATGGAATAAGTTTGAAGGAACGTGAGACCATAATGCCACAAGAATACAACCACCTTGACATAAGGCTGAAGACCACTATTAATAAATTAAGTTCCTCCTTGAAACAAGTAAATAACTTTGTTAATATAATTTAGTAGATGGTAAGAAGTAGGTGGGTTGTGTTTCTATCTATCTATCTATCTATTTATCTATCTATCTATCTATATGTGTGTGTGTGTGTGTGTGTGTGTGTGTGTGTGTGTGTGTGTGTGTGTGTGTGTGTGTGTGGTATATCATGAAAAAATTTCCAACATACTGCAAGAATCTCAAAGCATGACACGGATTTTGATGCACTTTGTTGAGCAAGACGTTCAAAATTTGATCCAGAGCTCCGATTTCAACAGACTTATATTCAAAATATCAGCTCGATAACACAAACACAATGATACTTAAATTGGTCCAATCCGAGTCAAATCAAGCTCATATCAAGACATTACACTATTTTTGAAAGCTTCCTGGGCAAATTTGAAAGATCAAACTTACTTCAAATCGTATGAGTATATAGTCGAATCGAGCGTCTCGACAAGATAAATCCAACGAGCTCAAATCCGCTCCATTCCAACATCATTAAAACTCTCCAATGCACCTTCTTTATGTAATTTTTTTTGCAGTCAGTGCAAGAGTAATATTTCTAGATTCAATATGTGATCTATTGTTTTTATTCATAAAAACAAACATAATCAAACAAAAATTAGAAGTCAGTCCTTGTATTTTTTTCTATATCAAGATAAGAAAAGCTACAAAAAAAAAAAAAAAAAAGAAAAATTGTGGCCTTTAGTATGAATTCAAGTCCACATGTTGCCTATAACTTTCCTTCAACCTGAATAGTATTGAAATTTATTGCATAAATACCTGAAATAGATTAGGAAAGATATAACAACCTGACCCCAACATTTAACTTTGCACTGTTTAGTGATTACTTTTTGCAAAAAGGACCTAATTTTTCTAGGAGGATTTACATAAATAACCCTCATTTAATTTCAATTTTTACAAACATATACTATCTTGCGTATGCACGAAAAGGTGTAAATATAAAATGGTAGATATGCAAATACATAGGAATTAGGTGATATGTAATATTCAAGTGAAATTAACTTAATGATATAAATTCTGTAGTCTTATGAATAATTTTTGTAACTACTAGGAATAAAATGAACCCAAGTATTGATCTTCCATGTTTCATTTCAAATGGTTATTATCATTAAATCCATGTGTGACCATCTTAGTTCTCTCTGAGCCTATAAATAGACCTAAACTCAATTTATTTCGGGAAGTATCTACAACTAATTGTAATGATAGTTAATGGTGGGGTGCTTACGTTCATTCATAATTGCTGACGTTAGACGTGTTGTGTGTCAGAAAATTTACGCCGGTAGAGTGATGATTTAATGTTTTAGTGTTGTACGAAGATCCAATCACACAAATATAAAAGAAAAGTAGCCGGAGGAGTCACCAAGATTTTTATATTGCAAAGCTTCAAAAGAGGAAAAGTCATGGGGTCTAGCAGGGTCAAATTAAGTTAACAATTATATGTTTATAAGTTTGGAAACACCATTCTATCACAAAATGGAAAATGGGGTTAAAATCTTGTAATGAAAACTACAATTTTTTCGTTATAGCTCAAAAAATATAAGTGCTAGGAAATTGAACGACAGTTGTGGTCTGGCTATAATGGTTGCAAGCAATTACTGACGTCGATTGGTGGTTGTTGACGACAGATGAAAATGACAGGCAGTGGTAGATGGTGGTCGGTGATTACGGAGACCGGTGGTCGACAGTGACTGACAACTATGGAGGTCGGTGGCTATTCATTAGGTCTTCTCTCCATAATGAGCTCTAGAATTTCATTTCTCTCTCTTCTTCTCCTCCCCTCTCAATTGAAAAATAAGGGGCATATTTATAGCCATTTAGATAAGGTATTTTGGTCTTTTGACGAATAACTTACATAACTATTTGATCAGACGATCAATGATGATCCCCATGATCATATTAATTATTTAAGGACTTTTATGTCTTAATGTCCTCAAAATTGAATGATCATAGACTAGTTGGTTTCCTTTCATCAAAATGCTCAATTTGATTATAAAATGTCAAGTTTGGATTTCATTTGACCATTAAATTGATGATCCAAAACTTCTAATTGTGCTTTGCCGACTTAATTTAAGCTTGTGTTGACCCATATCAACCCATTTTGACATCACTGATTTTGTCTTGACAAGGAAGTCATTATGACTATAACTTGTCGAAATTAGGGCCGGATAATTTGGATTTGAATATCGAGCATTTCCTGTTAAAAAATGCATCAAATTTCGTGCCAGATAAAAATATGTTGGAGACATATCAAGAATAAATATATATAGAGAGAGAGAGAGACACACACAATTCTTATGTATTGCCATATCTAACCCAAAGTTTCATGAAAGTGTAAATATCAAATTTTGGCTTTTACATTTATAAATACATTATAAAAATTGCGTCGCATGCATGTAAACCTCCCTAATATGTTTATATTACCT